TGATTGATTGATTGATTGATTGATTGATTGATTGACTGATTGATTGAATGACTGATTGATTGATTGATTCATTAATCCCAAATTAGCATTTAGTCTCAGAAACTTCTTGCGGCAAATACTTGGAGACGTTGCCCTGGGATTCAGTTTCGTTCCTCGTTGCTGGCAAAACAGAATGTATCACTGGAATGTTTTCATTTGCATCCTTAACATTCTGGAAGCTTGTAGATCTTTGTTGTGAAGGTATTTCCTTGGAAAGGTGCTTTCTAACGAAAAATCTTGTTTCGGTATAATCAGGGATGTTTTCATTCATTTTTCTCGCGAGCTTTCGTGGGGGATAAGTCTTGTTAAAGTCCTCGTTATTTAATACCAAGGAATGTGTCGTTTTGCCAGATAAATCGAACAAAGATGTTACATCATTCTGATTTCGATTTCTCCTTGCACACTTTGGCGCCGTCACCCCGCCGATATCCACATTGTCCCAGATCCTACGCATGCGTTGTAAATCAGTCTCTGACTTTCTTCTGGTGATCATCTTAAGAAGTTTGAGGAGACCTTGACGGTAATCTCGCTTGAAAACGAAGAAAATGATCGGGTTAACACAACCGTTTATGTAAGTGAAAAACCGGCAAATGATGATTTCTTTGGCCAGGGAAGTAATGTCACCATCTTTGCCAAAATCAATCCACAACCATAACACTTGGTTGGGGAGGGTACAAAGAGCAAACGCTACAACAATAATCACAAATATTTTAGTAACTTTTGCGTTTTGTTCCTGACTTATAACGAAGCTTTCTTTCCGCGTTTGGTTTTCTTTGAAAGCGGAATATGTCTTTTTTCCACTTTCAGCAACAGGAAGCGATATTTTCCGAACGCTGTCGGCTGCGGCGAAAAGCCGTACAGATGCTAGGATGTACATTTTTATCATAAATAATAGGGGTAGCGCGTATTGTACGGAAGCCAAGAACACAGTGTAAATCTGACGGTACAAGAACTTAGGCCATTGCTCCGTGCAAGAGTTATTTTGCAATCCGAGGAAGGACGCGTACGGCAAAACAAACGCAACAGAAATGAAATCCACAGTTATTACAATGGACTTAACTTGAGCCATCGAAAGCTTTGATTTGAACGGGTACAGAATATTTCTGTACCGATCCAGGGAAATGGCTGCCAGAGTGAGAGCTGAAGCAGTAGAGAGGAACGTCGCAGTAGGAAATAACAACTTGCATGGAATGGAACCAAAAGGCCAGATGTAGTGATTTTCTTCGAGAACAAGATCAAATGGTATGCTCATAATCGGTGTAAGCAAATCAACAAATGCCAGATTCAGAATTACAATGTTTCCCGCCAAGGATCTCATCCGTCTTGAGGTAAAGATAACTCCTATCATCGCAGTATTTCCTACAGTACACACAAGCAAAATCGCGACGCATACTGTTATTTTTGGGATTTTAAATCCCAGTGATTCTGGCGGCGAGAGCAGATTACTAAAAGGTGTACCACTAGAAGCTGTCCCTGGGAGCGCTGTTGAATTGTTCATTTCTGCTGCTGCTTACGATTCCACGTTCACTGTTCCGTGGCCTACTTTGCTGCTCATAAAGAACTTCAATTGATATGCAATGTTCGGCACCTTTTGACGTGTCGGTTTCACTGTGCATAGCCAATCAGAAAACTGAGCCGGCGCCCCAAATCTGCCTGATCTCATTTTACGTCTGTGTTGTTGGCTCTTGATTCGCTAAAATGCTGGGAAAGCGATCATGTTGAAAAGAACGAGTTGTCATTGATAAAGACTAAAACACCTTCAATAAGTTGTGACGCATTTTGACCCTGCTGTAGTTATTTTATTTCAGTGTTTTGCAAAAAGGAAAAATAAACAGCAGTGAAAATAAGTCATCCACTTTGCTAAATTAAAAAAAAAAACCGTTCAATGAAATTTCAATCTCTACATTTAGAGCAGTATGCGAATGAAAGGGCTATCATTCATTTTGAACTGCGAAAGCACTTGAATATTCATCAAGGGATATATTAATTCGATGAAGTATAAAGATTTCTCGTGAAGTTATTAGACTTCCTGGTGTATCTGTCTAAATTGCCGACAAGGAAAAGCGAAAAAAAAAAAGCAAACTATGTTAACCAATAATTGCGACCGCGTTTGTGCTGCCAGGTTTCAGCGAAAAAAAAATATAAGTGCAACACAAAGGATGTAAAAATCGCATAACAAGTGAAAACGATAACTCTGATAGTCAATTACTTTAAAACCGGCCGCCGGCATCAAAAACTGATCTTAAAAAACCATTAACGTTTTTTATGGCAACTAAACTGTCGAGCCACTTATTTTTTTCAATTGGATGAACAGCATACTTCCTTTATTTTCTCACGTAATGCAATAACTAAATGAGTTATTATCAACGCTCATGCTTCATAAAGTTAAACCTCCATTAGAATTATTTATCATTGTTTGCGCCTTAATTATCTTTTCAGTAAAACCTACGTGCTGTGCAAGTTAACTTTGTTTGAGTTAAAAAGGCACGGAGTATGGAGAGTATAAAGTCACAAGGATGATTTCTTCAAATTCGAATTTGAATCCAAATTTAAAATTTTATTTGGATTTCATAGTCATTTCCCTGGATGTCTGATCTTTCATTCGTTTAGTGTGATCCAAGTCATTTCATTTTATATTAATACATGTATATCTCTGTGAATTCCTGTCTCGATCTTGATTGGCTAACGAAGCAAAGAATTAACCGTGATACTGAGACCCGCTGTGCGATATTGGAACTTGTCGGTGTGCGCTGGGGCGGAAGATAAACACAACATTTTGAGACAAAACAGTACTGTTTTTTTAAATGTTCCGTATAATTGAAGGTTTCCTCAGTAAAAACATCCTCAGCTGGCCTCGATTGGTGAGATTTTTATATTTTAATAAATTGGTAAGATATCGTTTGAGAACTTTTTGGTTTGCGTGTTTGCGTGAGATTTAGCTTGAAATTCACAAGCGAGGCATTTAGACACATGATCAATAATAATAGTAAAGAAAGTCTTCCTCTCTCTCCATGGCGCTATCACTGCATATATCAGTGTCAACATAAAGGTTGATTTCACCCATGGCGTATTTTACTTTCATGCATTAACTGAACATAACAAGCTCAAATTTCCTTTTAAGGCTATGTTCTAGTTCTTTCACCAGAGAAATAAGCTTTTTTTTAATTTCAAATTACAAATAAAATGACTGTTAAGAAGATTGTACTTTTTACAGGTAAAAATAACTCAAAAAAAAAGTTGTATTTACGTTTGCGTGAGACATACACAATTGTGTCCCGGTAAACAATTGCGATTCACGCCAGGCAGACGGCTGTTGTGAACAGAATGAAAGGAGGCTGGTTGTAACTATAGGTTTATTGCAAATCAATTTTTACAGACAAGCAACCGACACGCTGTAAGATTTTGTGAGCATTTATGAAGAGAAAATAATATTTCAAGCGGTGGGAAATTGTACGTATCAGACATCCGGTCGCGTGCTCGTGGGAGATAGGTACGATGAAAAAAAAAAAAACCTCTTAAATAACAAGTGCCTTCGACCCATTTAGCTCTCATTAGTGTTTTCTCAGGGTCTAATAGTTATTTTAAAATAATAATAATAATTTTTCACTCAGAATCTACTGAGTAATGTCGGACATGTAGAAGACGAATTGGTTTACTCTGCGCTGACACAGGGCTGTGTTATTCAGGAGCCGATTAAGCTAAAGCAGGATTAGCGGGAATTTTGCTTTCAAGTTTGTAACTTTTCGGTGAAATTTTCTGTTTACATTGTTTGTCCTATACAGTTTTGAGCTGGAATAATCTCAAACACCAAACATAAGCGGTGAAAAGTATTTTGTGCAAGAAAAAAGAATACTTCGGTAACTTTTAATCCTGGGTTAGCGTTAGCCCGGTTTTCGAACAACCCGGTTTAGGTGTGTAAATGGATGTAGACAAGATAGATTTTAGGAGCAAATCTACTATAGATGAGCATTTTATCAAGCTGGCAAAATGAACTACTTGGCTTGACCAAAACGTTTTAATGTCCAAAATATAGTAAACACACCTCAAAGTAAAGTAAACTTAAATTAATGTCCCATGAATCCTGCATTTGCTCAACCCTTTTCCGATCCAAACAATTGTTACTTTTCCTGGTCTGTTTGGCCACCTATTTTTAAGAGAGATATATTGAAATCTAATTCTGCCTTATTTCTGTTATTTTGCAATAATTGCACGAGGTAATTCCATTTTCTCACGACCTCTTAATCGGTTTTTATTGCCCTTCTTCGTGCTTTGAATCTGTTAACGTAAAAGAAATAACGTGTAAAATAACTTCGTTAATACGCACCACGCATAGTCCAAAATTTGGTA